TTTGGGCCGCTGGGTTTGCGCTATGATTAAAGACCAAAGTGGACTCAACTTAGTCCTATTACTATTATAAGAACATTAATGAAGTATACTTGGTAGAGAGAGATGATGAATGAATGAAAGAAAAACTTTATTTACGTGTCAAGGAAGTCTAACCGAGGGTAAAAAAAACCCTCTACTAATAGAGGACACTTAAAATAAATGAAATAAGTTATTGAAATTTAAACATCTAAAATTTGACTGTTTACAAAAACTAAAATTTAACTACCTTATTTACAATAATTCCAAAATGAATAAATAAAAAAAAAAAAAGAAGTTATTTGCAAGTAAAGTTCACGAAACAAGCTTGGTGGTCATGTACTACATAAGACACAGTTCTCGCATTCGTGTTCTATCTTGGACGAAAAGTTAGTTAGACAGATCTGTCTTTTAAAGGTTACAGAAACGGTAAGTTTTTTAAGTTAGTTGAGAGTCTATTCCACAGCATAGGTCCAATATACCTTAGGGAATGGTAGATGAATACATGATGAACTTGTTTAGAACTAAAAGATCTAATCAGTCAGTAAGATGCAAGCTGTAATAGACGAGAGAGATCTTACAATGAAACTCGTCATTCCAGGTTTAAAGCCCCGTCCAAACGGAAAATGTCTGGCGATCAAACATGATCAAACATTGTTTGGTGACCAAACGTGTTGATGTTGTACTTAGTGGCAAATTGGTTGATCAGTGTTTGATCAAATGTTTGTTGTCGTTCAAATTTTATGAAACATGGTCATACAAAGTGTCCAAACGAAAAAATCTTTGGTCACCAAGCAATTTTTGATCTTGTTTGACCGCCAGNGTGTTCTATCTTGGACGAAAAGTTAGTTAGACAGATCTGTCTTTTAAAGGTTACAGAAACGGTAAGTTTTTTAAGTTAGTTGAGAGTCTATTCCACAGCATAGGTCCAATATACCTTAGGCAATGGTAGATGAATACATGATGAGCTTGTTTAGGACTAAAAGATCTGATCAGTCAGTAAGATGCAAGCTGTAATACTAGACGAGAGAGATCTTACAATGAAACTCGTCATTCCAGGTTTAAAGCCCTGTCCAAACGGAAAATGTCTGCCGATCAAACATGATCAAACATTGTTTGGTGACCAAACATGTTGATGTTGTACTTAGTGGCAAAATGGTTGATCAGTGTTTGATCAAATGTTTGTTGTTGTTCAAAGTTTATGAAACACGGTCATACAAAGTGTCCAAACGAAAAAATCTTTGGTCACCAAGCAATTTTTGATCTTGTTTGACCGCCAG